TGTAGGGAAGAGTGGGGAAATTCAGGAGTGTACTGATGAGATCATATGGGGTCATGCAAATTTTGTAATCCAACTAGAATCTTTTCAGAATAACTATTTTAAAGATTTGTAAGCCTCCAACCTTTTATTAACGTCCTCTCTTTAATCTCTTTGCATTATTATACTATGATCTAAGAGGCCTGATGTTATAGCAAGCACAGACTTTATTATAATATATAATAGTGGTGGTATTTCTTAAAAGAAACTATTGTGCTAACACTGTCTGGATCCTCTCACGTGAACCATTCAGTGGAAAATACATAAATTTTGGAAATTACATTTTGGAATTTTTGATGTTGCAAATGAGATGTCCAGTTACAGTAGAACTCATTTAATTGAGACCATATAATTTGCCTTGGCAAACACTGATTTAGAAATAATATAAAAGCTTTTCAGTACTCAGAAGAGCTAGAGGTCTAAAGTGTTGTCATACTCATATGTGTAATAAACATATACATATACTTTTAGGTCATGGTATATATTTTACCTGACTGTTCCACTACATGCCTTTGTTAAAGAGAAATCAGAAGGAAAGATAAGCAAACTGGCTGGACAGGGTGAAACTTAATCAAAAGATCTTTTCCTTGGTCCTTTAATTTATTTCCTTTTTCTTTCCTTCTGAGGAAATAATTGTTCGAGACTATTCATTCCCTCCCTGCTTGTGTTACTCAATTCACTCACTAAATACCATTTAGTACCAAGACCTTTAAAAATCAGTACAGTAAGCAAATTATTGAGTTTGACAGTTGCCTTTTGGACTTTATTCATAGCATCCATCCATATCCACCTATTTAAAATTTTAATCGTAAACTATTTTTTTTCTGTGTAACTAGGAGCTATTTTATCATTCCAAACAAGACTCCTGGTGAAGAGGTCAATTCCTTAAGACATTAAAACACCCTAAATGCTAAACTTGTTTTTCATTCTTCAAGCTGCACATAAAATTCCTAAATTGTCAAGAGTTTGCTTCTTGGTAGGTCTCACAACCATGCAGGTCTGCCATGTAAAACTCTGGCTGTTAATGCAGTGACACAGCCAATCAGATTCCATTCTGTAGTTGTTTCCTTGACACCAATATGTATTCCCTGAAATAGACCACACAGAGAGGAGAGAAAAGGAGACAGAAAAGCAGAGAAAAAGTCTCTAGCTCATCTTAAAATACTGTCATTACAGTGTTTAGAAGGGTTCGAAAAGGAGTCAGTCCCAAGTGGTAACTTATTCTGGGTAATAAAACAAACACAGTGATGTGAAATATTGTTATTTTATACTTTTAAATTAATTGATTCTTATTCTCAAATTTAAAATGGGTTTTCCCAATCTCTAATGCAAGATTCAGTCAAAAAACTAGCAGCAATTCTCTCTTAGTTTTGGCTTCAAAAACTAAAATCCAATGATAGTTTTATTCATTAGTGTTTAAGGACAGCTATAGAAGGACAGATATCATAAAATCATCAACCAAACATACTTTGTTTAATTACACATCCTTCTAACCTTTACCCCAAATCACACACTCTACCCTCACCACAGCCCATTATCTTAGTGAGAGATTGGCCAAATGAGAACCTGAACAGAATAAGCAACCTTTGCATCACCTCTGTTGGGCATCACCGGGGAATAAACTTCTAAGCAAGGTGTATTTAATGATGTATTGCACAACCTGGCCTTATTTCTGAATTCTCAAAATTGTCCCTTACCCATTTTCCTTTCTTCTGTACATTGACCATTTGATCAGATTAAAGACCCGGCCTGTAGCAGAGGTTCTAGAAAGTCAGGTGGATCCCACAATCACCTTCTGTAAAAGATATTTACAAGCAGTCCTTGTGATTCTATGTTCCTTAATTTACATCCTTTATTTTATGTCTCTTCATTTGTAAAGAGAATTAACCTGTTTTCTCCTCTTCTTTCCCTTCTTTCTCTTTACAGGAGGCATTGAAATTTTCAGCAGAGACGTTCAGAAGACATATTGCAGGATTCTGTAATAATGAACATATGGAAAGTATTAGAAATATTTATTGTCTGTAAATACTGTAAATGCATTGGAATAAAACTGTCTCCCCCATTGCTCTATGAAACTGCACATTGGTCATTGTGAATATTTTTTTTTTTTTTGCCAAGGCTAATCCAATTATTATTATCACATTTACCATAATTTATTTTGTCAACTGATGTATTTATTTTGTAAATGTGTCTTGGTGCTGCTGAATTTCTATATTTTTTGTAACATAATGCACTTTAGATATACATATCAAGTATGTTGATAAATGACACAATAAAGTGTCTCTATATTGTGGGTGATTTTAATGAATGCCTAAATAATTATCCAAACTGATTTTCCTCTGCGCATGTAAAAATAGCAGTATTTTAAATTTGTAAAGAATGTCTAATAAAATATAATCTAAATTACACCATGACTCAGAGGGTGAATTTTATGTGTATGTAGATATATTCTTTAAGATTTCTAGTAGAAGAAACATGATGTAATTTTTAACTGTATTTGAATATGGTCTTAAGTTTAATATGTTTATATTGGTACAAATTCCAACATTTTCACATTAGTTTAAAACCACTTAAAATGTATTTTGTCCGATATTTAAGTTCAATTCAGCAGAATGGCTGAATTATCTAGACATCATTTTATGAAGTACATCCAGTTCAAGGTGAAGAGTGGAGAGGGCAGGAAAAAAGCAGAGAAAAGTCAGGAGAAAAAAAATTAAAGAAACTTAGTCCAGAGAGTTAGCCAGAGTTGAAAAACAGGAAGAGAGGCAGATCAGGAACTTTAAGGCCAGGGGTAAGTTTAATCAATGTAAAATTTAATTTGAGAGAGCTTTTGCCCCTATTGGTCACATGATAAGCGTAAAAGAGCTACTTGAGAATTCTACCTGTTAACCTTTCCTACCAGAGAAAGGAGAGAGACTCAGGTTTGGGAGGTGTGTGGCAATTCAAAATGCTGTCACCGGGACTTCCCTGGTGGCGCAGTGGTTGAGAGTCCACCTGCTGATGCAGGGGACACGGGTTCGTGCCCCGGTCCAGGAAGATCCCACATGCCACGGAGCGGTTGGGCCCGTGAGCCATGGCCGCTGAGCCTGTGCTATGCAATGGGAGAGGCCACAACAGTGAGAGGCCCGTGTACCGCAAAAAAAAAAAAGCTGTCACCGGTGAAGATAGCTTTCGTGGGACATACCAGTTCCAGGGA